GAATGTGGTGACTGGCCCCATCGAGGACTCGGTCAGATTGCCTCATCTACTCAGTGCCAAAGCTGTTGCTGTTTTCAGTCAGGTAGAAACTAGCTCCTGCATTTTATTCAGAATTGGATGTGTGGGAAGCTACCCCCAAAACCCAGATCTTAAATAATATACCAGCAGTGCCATTTAAGGGACATCTTTTCTATTTGTGGCCTTTTTGTTTTCCTGACAGGAAGTGAATTTCTGCTATGCAAGGCAAGAGTTTAAAATACATTGGCAAGTAATGTTTGGCCCCTGCTTTTCCTGTGGGGTAACCTGTTTTTGCAATCCTTTGTTTTTCAGAGTGTAATTATTATATGCTTTATGTACAATCTTTGTGTACAGTAATTTTTCATGCCAACATGTGCATTACGATCTCTATCGCAGAGAACAAAGCAAAGCTCTTGATAAACTGTATGGAGTAGTAATACAAAGGGTGGGTTTTTAAAGGCTGCATTGATACAGAAATACTCTGGCTTTGATGTACTCTGTTCTGAAACGTGGACGTATCATAATCAAATTCATGTCAATTATTCCCACATTTCACTCTGAAGGAGGCATGGAAAAATATCTGCTTTTTGTAATACGTTTAGCATAGCAGTCTAGTCATTTCATTAATAATTTCCTCCTCAGGATTACATTTACAAAGCCACGTGCAATCATTGAATTCTGTGCCTCCTTATTAATACCAAACACGCTTTCAAGTCCCATTATGACTCTCTGAAAATGCACCTTGTGCCATAAAAGCTGGCTCCACACAGGGCAGCCCAGTATCCCAGCAGCACTCCAGCACTTCTGCTTCCCAAGTCCCCTGGCACAGAGCGTTGATGCTGTTACCTTACCCAGGTTACCTCTGAGCTGCAGAGCTTGAGTTTGGTTTATTGGCCCATCTCTGGCTTTTTCAGCCAACCACCACCAGCCCCTGGAGATTTTACTTTGTGATTAAATAATAATGAAAGAGCTTGTTCCTTGGAGAAAAAGTTTTAAAATAACAGGAATATCCTGAGCGTGGCGTGGCATGGGCGGTAAGACCTCTGCTGTTTATTGTTTACTCAGCCCTTGAGCAGAGGAGAGGAAAGCTCCCATAACGTGCTGTTGGAGAACGTGTCTGGCAGGAGATAAGCAGATCACAAAATGGCCTTTGCATTTTCCTCTTGGAGCCTCTTTGAGGTTCAGCCTCCCTGCAAACACAGCCAGTTTTCAACACTGGCAAGGCTCTATTGCTCAACGTGGGATTTTCCACTTCTCCAGTAGAAAACCAAGGTGTGGGGCAACCTGTTGGTGCAGTTTGCTCCTGCTCAGGGCTGAGTGATGGCCCTCAGGGTCCTCCTGCTCCTCTCTGGTGCTGGCATGGGCAGCTGCCAGCACGGGGGCTTTGGCTCCTGCCTGTGCAGCAGCCAGCGTCCCCAGTGCTGGGCAGTGCTTTGAGACCTGTGTGTCACAGGGTGCTCTCTAGAAAGCAGAATGATAGAAATAGTGATTATCCATGTACATACCCATGCCCATATATTTGTATTTATGTAGAAATATACATGCAACTTATTTTAAAAAAAGAATATAGTGGAGTTGGGCACAAAATGGTGTCAGTTACCTAATCCACCTTCTCATTTTCCCCACCTCAGAGCTGAGGTGGTTGTTGTTGAATGTAATGAGCTGTCATCTTGACTCACAAAAACTTAGAAGCTTCATTTGGAACAAAAAAAAATAATTAATAAAAACCAACATAGTGGATTCCTCCCATCTGTGGCTATTACCAGTGTCTGTCTAGAACTGCTTGCATTTCTTAAAGCCTTTCATGGGTTGTCACTGAGACTGAGCAATATTTAAAGCCATGTCAGATTATCCCAGGTTCCTAAGTAGTATTAACCTGTCAAGGTAAAGATTTATAATCTTACAGCTGCTTGACAAGCTGCATTATTTGTACTGTAATATTAATTTGTGGTGAGGCTTCGTGGTGAGCTGTAGTTAGCTGTGTGAAAACCTGACCTTAATGTTCCCTAGCGCTAAATAAAAACAAGCCTTGATCAGTTTTTCAAGTAAAACATTCAATTAATCTCTTCTGACTTTATTTAGTGTCCTGCCAAGTGCTGAGTGTAACCTTTCTCCCAAGTATTTGTTTTCAAGAAGGCTGATGAACAGTAGCAGAAGGGAGCTAAGATGGAGAAATGCTGAAGTGGGCCATCATGATCCCTCTTTGTCTGGAAGAGAGATGCTTTGTTGGCAAGGGCAAAGAGGATTATTCTGTGCACAGAGGTGATTGCAATGACTGATTTATGAAGGTGGTTTCAATGCAATCATACTTTTCAAGTTTACTCCAGCTTCTATCCAGTATTTAGTTCGTTCAGGTGTTGACACAATTTTGCTGACATTTTTCTTAAGTGGATTATGCTCACAGCCAGTTTTTCAAAGCAAACAGATGGCTTTTCAAACAGAGCATGCCCACAGATTATTTTTTTTATGCTGTCTCTAGAATTATGACAGCTCTGTCACAGGGGGCTGGTTTGTCATTAATTTTCTTGTGACAGATGATGCAAAATCATTTTTGCTCCTTCAGCTTGCTCAAATGAACCAGCTGTTTAAAAAATACAAGGAGACTAAGACATAAATCAGTTGGTCTGTACATGAATGGAATTGCACTATTTTGATAAGTCCACTTCTGTTTTTAGATCGCTGTAAAATAAGAATATCTTGAAAATATTGGAAGTAATCTCAGGAGGAGTGTTTTTCTTTTCAGAACTCGAAGACACGTTGTGCATTGCCTCAGACAAAAATCTGTAATCTGAGTTCCCTGGTTGCTTAGGTGTGAAATCAGAATATGCATAAGGAAGAGCAGGGACACATGGGCCATGCCACAGCAGAGCCTTCTAGAAGCCATGCCCCAGGCACTGCAATGAAGGGGACACCAGGTGCTTCAGGGCTCTGGGCTGTCAGCATCACCATTTTACCTCTCTGCTGCACTGGCTCTCCCAGGTTTTGGGCTTAGTTGTCCTTGGTGCTCTGTAGGGATGTCTGCTTTGAGTTGCTTCTCGTGCTGAGGGGATTTTCCATCATTACTGATGCTGCTGTTGGATCTCCTTGTGTATGCTGCAGCGTGTCGTCCCTGTTGCTGCAGCACCAGCACCACTCCTCTGCCGTTTGCCAACAGGGAGACTGGTGTGTGCCAGGTGCTCGAGGTGGCCACGGGGCTCCTGGTCCCTGCCTGCTGCCTTTAACCAGCTCAGCCTCTGTCCTAAACGCAAGCTCACCGCTGCGTGAAATACACACTGTGTAATTTATTCTGGTATTGCTTTGTGTTTTTTTCTGCTCGCTGGATCCCAAGCTGTCTGTCTGTGTATTCCCATCAGTGTCATGCTGCCGAGACCCAAATCTCTTCAGCAGAGCTCCATTCCAGGTCACACAGAGCCACTCGGGCCGTCCCGTGCTCTTGGTTCTCCTTGCGTGGAGCTGGAGCCCCAGCGTCCGGGCAGCGATTTGCACTGTCCAGCAGGGACAAACCCATGTCCCCAGGAGATGAGGCCATCACGTTCTGGGGCACGGGCTGCCGTCCCTGCTGACGTGGTTTCCCACGTGGTGTTTACCAGCAGGACTTGCAAGCCATCATTGTTTCTTCGTTGGGAGCATTGTTTGCAGGGACTCGGGCGGTGTGAGCGCGGTGCCAGGCGCTGGCACACGGGGAAGTGTGCTCATCACTGTGGGATAAATCTGCCCTCTTAGCTCTGGAGGAAGGGAGAGCAAAGAGATGCTCCAACTGCTGGAAGGTGTCATGCTGTGGCTCGTCCAACACTGCTGGCTTGTTTTGAAAACGGAAGGAGGGTTGGTGATCAGTCACTCCTCTAGTGTGCCCCAGGTCCTGCTGTAATCTCCTGTTGTCTCCTCTGAGACCTCGTGAAGTGTCTGTGGTTGGCAGGAGGTCAGGTTAGGTTGCAGGGACGTGAGTGTGACCTTTCAGCCAGTGAAGGTATTCCTTCTGAATATGCTGTGACCAGCTGCAGTGGGTGCTGTACTTTAAGCTCTACTTTGGGCAACGTGAGGAAAAGAGCAGCTCAAGTTTTTAGTGATGCTGAATTTTAGTAACCAGATGCATCACCTGGCTTTTATTTATTTATATGCTCTAGCACCAGAATCTAGTTGCTTCATGGCACTTGAGATGCCAATATTGCATAAATATTCATCTTGGCATTTCTGAACATCAACTCCTCAATACAGACTTCATGTAGCACGTTTTCCCTGATAGTTACAAATAGGAATGACATCCAGTTTGAGTCACCTCACCTTTACACGCCCTGAGAAGATTCAGAAGCAGGCCTTAGCTCACGAAGTCTCTCATTGGCATTCACCTGCTGGAAGGTCCCAGACAGGGTGGTTCAGATGGACCCGTTAATTCCCCGTAGCGCTGCGGGACGTTGCGTTTCGTACAGATGGGCAGCCTGGCCTGTGGCTGCTGGAGGAAGGACCAAGGCTGGGTGGCAAGTCCAGGACCAAGGAGGGGTGGGTAGCCAGGGTCTCGCAGCTTGTGGAGGACTCCTGGCTGAGGTCACACAACCCTTGCCATCTGGGATCTGGTGCCAGGGTGCAAGGATGGAGCAGTGGCACAGGGAGAGGGTACAATGTGCCATCACTGGCCCATCCCTGGCAGGTCCTCAGGGCTGATTGTGGAAGAGGAAATGCCTTCCTGCTCAGGCTCCTGAAGGCCAGCCCCAAATTACCTCCCAAGGGGTGACCTGGAGGTGAGAGGAGTCTGGTGCCTGTCCCACTCCCCCTGCCCATGGTGCTGGCTGCTGCCTTCTTCACCGAGCTGGGTGCTGGGCTGCAGAAGGGGCTTCAGTCCCTTCCCTGGGGGCTGGTGTTCACCAGGGGACAGAGGAGATTTGCAACGGGACCGGGACTGTTCCGCAGCGCCGAGCAACGTGGCAGAGACGTGAGTGACGCCTGATCCCTGACTCTCCTCTCTCTGTCTGTCTGTGCATCCTCAGGGCCAGGGAGACCTCCTGAAGAACGCCAAGAACGAAGCCCTGGAGAACATGAAGCAGATCCAGCTGGCGTGCCTGTCGTGCGGCCTGAGCAAAGCGGGAAGCGGGCAGGCGGATGCCAAGTCCAAGCGGTGCCTGGAGGCCATACAGGAGAAGGACACAGGAGACGAGAACGGGAGGCTGTGAGGGGAGGCCGAGCTGCCCCCTCCACCACAGATTTCAATAACTCTTATGCCCTCTACAGGGTGTCGATAGTATTAAAATCCTCACAGCGTCAGTATTTTATTGCAGTTAATTTATCTAAGTTCAAGTCTGATAGTGAGAGTTCTAACGGAGCCAAGCTGTACGCAGGGGCCTGTGTGTGCCCACATGCAGAGCCCCCAGGCACCCTTTCATGCATTACACACACCACACCACTTCAGCCATTTGCTAAGCCCTCTACAGGGTGTCGATAGTATTAAAATCCTCACAGCGTCAGTATTTTATTGCAGTTAATTTATCTAAGTTCAAGTCTGATAGTGAGAGTTCTAACGGAGCCAAGCTGTACGCAGGGGCCTGTGTGTGCCCACATGCAGAGCCCCCAGGCACCCTTTCATGCATTACACACACCACACCACTTCAGCCATTTGCTAATTTATTCCTTTGTCATTTTTGAATAGGCCTGTTCATTCAGAAGATCAAAACAAACAGAGTACTTGTATCAGTTTTGTGCTTTCTTTTCCTCTCCAGCTTTCATCATTTAATTTATAGGTTATGTTACTGTTAAGCTGTTTAAACAAAAAAGCAAAATACAACAAACGCCACCGACAGCTGGTTTTGTGAGGGCAAGAACAGTGGCTTGCTGCAGATCCCAAAGGTGATTTTTAATGAACAATTAAAACACAGTAAATGAGATATTAAATGGTAAGAATTGCTGGATAGATTACGATTAGATCTGATGTTTCACCTGGATTTTCACAAACTGCTCCTCAGGAGACACCCAGACAGCAGGTACTAGCATAACAACCAGCTGATTTCTTTCATTCCAGTAAATCCTTGCTACCTTGTAGGTCTGCAGGACAGCTACAGTCTTTGCTGGTAGGCATTACCACGTGTAGCAATGAACATAGCTGGCCAGCCCCGGAGTCAGGAGGAGAGCTGTGAATATCCTCTGGGGATCATGAACTCTGAAGGGGAGCTTCAGGCTGTTCTGAAACACCCAGCGATGCCAGTATTAGGAGGAAGGCTTTACAGGTTTCACAAACTGTGAGCTTCACTGCAAGAGGTGTGAGGGGTCAGCTTCTGCTTGCTGCTGTCTGCTGAGGTGTTGGAGTCAGCTGGGTGAAGCGAGCAGGATCTGGCCTTTCGCTGTTGCAGTGAAGAATCGAGCTGTCCTAGAAATTTGAAGCCAGACTGCAGAACTGCTACAGATCAGAGTGTAGAGAAATAGTTTGGGGAAAGAACAGGCTACCAGCATTTTTGGGAGCAGTTACAAATAGCCTGTCACATGTTTAGGGTAGTTCTGAGACTTGGATGCCTCTCTGTGCTGCTGTAGAAGGGAGATGGAGAATGTCACGAGGCGATGTGTCCTCATCCTTCCCAGTGTCCAGCTCATGTGTGCTCACAGCATTCATTTCAATCGTTTAAGTACTGTGCTTGAGTGTAGTATTTGTGTTACCTTTAACGGGACTAAGTGTTTTATGGTTATAAAAAAAAGACTATATTTATTTAAAGCATTGCTTTTATTTTGAAAAGCTACTTTTTAAATTAATTTGATTAACAAATATGCTAATTTTCTGAACTTAACAAAAAGTAATTGCTGAAAAGTTTGACCGTTGAGTAATCTTATATAGCTATTGTGTTAAGTTATTTTTGACTTCTTAATAACACTATTATGTTCATGTTGCACATTACGGAGAGAGTAAAGCTATGAAACAACTTTGACCCATGTTTTTAAAGTGATTTAACACAGAAGGTGACCAGTGAGACTTGGATAAAGGTTGGATTAGAGTGGGTAAGTCACTAGATAAAATCCTGCTCTAGTAGGATCTGTGTTATTGCAGAAATTATAACTCAGATGCCTTAAATACCATTCCAGTAAAATTTGCCATACTCGTTCAGATTCTCTTTATCTCTCTGTTAGATTATGGGTGTGTATACAGCCTTCAGTGGGATCTGGAGAGAGGCTTTTCGGGTTTCAGGCAAGGCATAAAGCCCAGATCAATGGTGCAAGTGTGCATGTTTGTGTTTTGCCCTCCTGGATTACCTTCCTGATTTCATCATGGCTTGTGTTTATATGAAAAACAGCACTTGGCCTTCAGTATTTACAGTTAGGGAAGATGTAAACTGTTAACCTAGCACCACCAGTTGTGCTGTCTGAAGGCTGATCCTTCACCTCTCCAAAGGGAGAGGTTGTTTCAGGAAGGGCAAGTGGCTTGCCTCTTCATTTAAACCTCAGAACAGCCTCACTTTCTCCATTTAAAAGGCTATCCTAATGTCTGTAGAGGAACTGCTGGCAAAATACCTTCTAAGTCCTCCTTCCTTCTCTGATGCTATAAACAAATGAACATAAAATTATATAGGGAAGGACTTGCTTTCTGTGCTTGTATGGAAAGAGGTACTGCACAGGCTCTCACCAGAAAGATAGTGGCTGGATGGAAATCCCATAGCATGCCCACACACACCTTTCATGCCATGTTTAGCATTTTTCATGTCCAAGGTCATGCTGCATGGTATTCTGTGCCAAAATACAGGGAGCAGAAAACCTTGGGCACCCTGGATTGTCCCATGCAGCTGGGGCTGCTCCTGGCACTGGCCCCCACAGCCTGGAGCTGCTCCATTCTGCACGAAGAGGGGGCTGGCAGCAAAAGCTCTTCTCACCTTTCTCTGTGCCCCTTTGAAATCACTGAGAGTGGAAGTGGATGATAAAGTGGTAGTCGATGTAATAAAAATTCAGCCTTGAAGGGGAGAACACAAGAAAAAATCATATCCAGCATCAACAGCAGCAACACACAGGGGGCTGCCTGGCTGGCCTCTCGTGTCTCCTGACATGCCTGGCTTCTGGCAGTGGCACACCAACGTCCTCCAGGCCCTGTGCTGGTGTGATTTGCCTGCTGTCCCACCGGAATGGGGGGATATTACCTCTGTCATTTCCAGGGGAGTGATGTCAGGAAAGGGCTACAGGTGTTTGCAGTTGTTTACAGTGTGTTTTAACAACTAGAAATTGGAGAAGCCCTCAGGGACTGGTGTGGGGATGTGTCTGCCAGAGTGAATACAGGAGTGAATCTACCTGGGTTCTTGTTCCAGCTCTGCCACCGAGTCCTGCCTCTTTACAGTCTATTTTCCCTCTGTCTCTCAGCTGTAAGTTAAGACTGATGATGTTTTCCTTCCCAGGCACAGATTAGTTTACACATTTCTGAAACCCCTTTGAGTGTGCTGGTGCTCTCAGGAGAACATCCAGGCACTGTGCATGGGCTGTCCTGTGACACCAGCATGTGCCAAGTCCTTCCACCCCTGGTGAGCTCAGGTGGGCCAGCACATGCTCAGGGTACATGCTCCATGTGCTTCTGTGGCTATCCTCTACCAAACTGCACCTTTGGTCAGCATGGCAGAGGGGCAGCCACCTCAAGGTTGTTAAATTCCTGCAGATTTCCCAAGTAAAGATGGGGTGAGTGGCTCAAAGAGGCCCCAGCAGCACCTTCCCTGGGGCTCGAGCCTGCAGCATGACCTCTGCCTGCACGTTAGGCACCAGCACCCACCAGAGAAAGGTGGGTACAGAGGTTTCACTCGGATTTTGCTTCTTACATCCATGAAGGAATCCAGCCCTGAAGCATGGGAAGAAGCTGTTCACAGACCTGATCAGTCTTAGATCATCAGGAATAATTTGTACCAGATTTTACCACTGGGACTGGCCCCTTTCCCCTCCCTCTCCTGAGAGCATGAGATAAAGCACCATGCTGTTCTGCTGCTTTCTGTATCATTTTTCATGCATTTTATTCCCTGTTGCTAAAGGGATAATGCAGCTTCCCAGTGCAAACAAGGTGAGTTTTTCATGTTCCTCCTTCTGAGATTCCTATCCCAAAATAGAGTTATCAGATAATTGCATGCACAGAGAGAGCTTTCCTGTGTAATAACCTATCTCTTCCATCTATCTGTTCAGACTAAAGATCAGGTTGTACCATCCTTAGCCTCTGTCTCACTTCTATAGCTACAGACAGCAGCCTGATGTGGGAAACTAATTCAGGAAACATCAGAAAAGAAAGAGGTGAGGGGGTTGCAGAAGCAATCTCTTTTGCCTCTGCTGCTTGCTGTGGGCCTGCCCCAGCCCATATTGCAGCAGCAGCAGACGTTCAGTAAATCTGAGATTTACTTGTAAAGTGCAGTGCTTAGCAGGGGAAAGATGATTGTGAAGGATGAAAACGTCTGGGCACAGTGACTGTGCACTTAGGAACAGAGCAACCACGAGGCACCCAAACCCCCTCCCCTGTCAGCTCTTCCCACCCCCCTTGGCAAGCATGAAACCCCCGAGGTTTCCGTAGTACTGTACCTGTAAAGTTGTCTCCAGGTTGTCACACCAAGCAGAAGGCAGCTGGTGAGTGCTGCCAGGGTGCATCTCCCAGGTCTGAAGCACGAGTGCCCTTTCAGGCTGTTCTGGCACAATCCCTTTGGGTTGCCTTCACACAGACTCAGGCTGAGCAGTCTGGCTTTTGCCTTCCACAGCAGGTCCCTTAAAAATATTTTTCTTTTTTAAAATGATGTTGAGGAATCTGTGAGTTCAGTAAGGGAAACGTGAGCAGCCAGGCCAGGCATGGGATTAAAGTGCTGTCCCACCAGCTGTTCCTCTGCAGCAAAGAAGACTGGGTGAACATGCCCTTGATGAAACAGGTTGTGTTTCAAATGAGGATTTTTTTACTCTCTTTGATGATTTGAAACAGTTTGCAAATAAATTACTTTTGCAGAAAATATTAGTGGAGTAATTTCCAGAGAATGTGCAGAAATCAAAACCTCATCAGACAACACATGAGCAGGAGGCAGCGTTATGTTTGACAGCTGTTTGCTCTGCACAGTCCACCCCACCTGACTCTGGAAACTGGAAGAAAAATGAATGATTGCCAAGGCAAGTTTGAGTTATGGGTGGGCTTAGAAGTGTTTTCTGTTAAACTGCACAGCGGGGACTTATCCATTTATTAAGGCATTAATCAACTGGA